AAATACTTTTCTTAGGGTTAGACAACAGTTCATCATTGCTCAGTGCAATTGTTGCTATTTCTTTTGAGACATTATTCATCTTTTTGCCCATAATGCTTTTTATTTCTTCTCACTTTGATATGTATTAAGGCAAATATGGTGATTTCATGCAGTCAAGAATCAGGGCATAGTAGAAAGATCTTTTTGAGAATATTCATCTGGGGAAAATGACTGATTTTTCAAACTTAAATTGGCTTTGCTTTTGAGGGTTAAGATAGGATTTGTGCAAAATTTTCTTGAAACCTCAAATAACTAGGAAGACATCTCATAGTTTAATAAGGCAGATAAAAGACATTTGAAATTTGAATTTTGAGGTCAGAGGTCTACATGTGGCCATGTGAAGTGCTAGAGAAAAATGACAAAACTAGCTGTTTGTCTCAGCTTGGAATGGAATATCTTAATCTCCTAGATCAGTGAAGCAGTTGTAGGATAGCTTTATACCTCCTACTCAGAGCTTCAGGTGACGGTTCACCTGTCACCTCCGGTTGCCCCTTGTTTCCTGCATTAGCAGACAGTAGAGCAGAGTTCCACTAATCTTGCACTATCCCAGTTGAAGTAATCAGTAGCTACTGCGACTTCTTTGTACCTATGGAGCAGTGCGGAGACGTAACAGCTCCAATAATCAAGTGTCTCCTTCAAAAAGATACATCTCAAAATTCTCGGCACTCTGTCCTCAAAATTTTGTAATAACATGCTGTTCTTTAAGAACTTCAGATCTCGATATTTGTTATCCAAACATCTGAAAAGCCACAGAGGGGAAACAATAATTTTTCATTTTTTTTTAAATACTGGATAACTTATTTCTAGTAGAAAATTTTCTGTAATATCATACAGAATTCAGCATTTTTAGTCAGTGCAGAAGATGCACAGGTTTTGTGTTACTTTAGAGTAGTGGTGCTCCACCTGATGGTTAAAACAAAACAGGCTTAGAAGGCTGTCTACACATGAGTTAGTCCATGTGGGTTGAAGGTTGCTTTAAAGAACTGTTGTGCCATGGCTAGTGCAGAAGGAACTGATGCTTTCCATTAGCAAGCACTGAGGGTAATAAAACCAACTTAATCTATGTGTTCTGAGTATTATCGTAATTTTTGTTAGTGTTTTTCCTCTATAGGAAAAGTTTGGGTGTCTTTTTGGGTTTTCTTGGCCTTCCCATAATTTCATTCTGTGCATTTAAGTAACTCAATCTGTCTCCTAGTTTGCCTCTTGGTGTGCAAAACTGGGGCACTAGAAATTCATGATCTCATCAAGTTCTTGTGAGGTTGACTCCATTGCTGTGGTGGGATTTTATGATATAAGTACTGTAGAAATGCCTGCATTTTATATGTCTCTGTGTATATAGCATTTCTCCATCCATCATCATACTACTAAGTGATAATGTTTTTCTACCCCTACTACCCTGCTGTAGTATCATGAAGCTATCTGGAAGCAGACATCATCGCTCTTACGGCACATTTGTACTGGGTCTCCTACTGGATCCTAATGGTGAAAGGTTACTTGCCAACGGTTGAGATGCAGACAGGCATTGTCCTGTGAGCGCTGTCGCTCTCCCATATCTTCAGATATGCCAGATCACAGTCCTTTAAACACCAACGCAACTTACTTTTTTTATTTGTAGTTTTAAACCCTCCAGTAAATGTTGCAAAATATTTATTTTTTAAAAAAGCAAACTCTTGTTTCTCTGTGTTTCCTTGTACAGTGAGATTTTTAGCCCCTTTATCTAGGACTTATAGCTTGTCAAGTACAAGCACCATTTGGGGGCCTTTTGGTATTCTTTTGCCTATACATGTGTAAACAATTCACTATTGTGTGTAAGTAGTTGCACATGCAAATAGGTGCCCATCCTATGTTATGTATTTATAACCAAATTCATAATACAAAATGAGAAGAATTTTATTTTAAATATGAAAGAATTATTTTAGGTATGTTTACAGGAGACTTAATCCATCTCCATATGTATGTGTTTACAGGAAATAAATTACGCTTTTCACAACCTAGTGGTAGTTGTTAACTCATAGGAATTGCTGCATTTCTGCATTACAGCTGTATATTTTCTAGCAGAAGCAGAACTATCTCACACTTGCAACTTCAAAATGTAGGTCATTGTGTTGGTGAATGTAGGTCAGAGTGAAGGGGAAGAAGACAGAATGCAAACTCCTCCACATGGATCCTTAAGCTTATCCCTGTTTTGAAGGTAAAGAGGCTTACCTACCTGTTCAAGCACGAGAAGCTTTTCCTTTTACTAAAATTAACACAGGTACTCTGGCGTCTGGCTTCTTAGCTTACCTGGAAGCATGGTATGCTTCCACACTTGAGACCTGTGTTCGTGAAAGACCTCCTGACTCCTGCTTCTTTAGCTTCTGGCCACTTATATCATTGCTGAGGTGATATTGCCTTCCCTATGGGGGAAAGGAGCAGGGAGGAGGGTCGTGTGCATAGCTGGCATCTGCCTAAAGAAGAGCATTGTCTTTCCAAAGGTGCTTTACCCTTCTCTCAGCACACAGCTATCTGATACACCTGCAGTTTCAGCTGGTATCAACATTGTAATGGTAGCAGGGGAAAGAATGATGACCCCTCATAAAAGATTTAGTGACACCATTCAAAGTGCCCTTTCAATAATAACTGTAGAAAAGCGAGACACATTTGACTGAGTGTACTGAAAACTCAGATGTTGAAGGATTTTGCCACAACTGACAACTATTTTTAAAACTCGCTCAAGCTAAAAGTTTGCTATAAAAGGGTTTAGGTTTTTTGTGTTTGTGGCTGTGGGTTGGGTTTTTTTTTTTTGTAATGTGAGATGTAAGTATTATAAATGGCATTAAATTGGCTGAGTCTTCAATAAATATTAAAAAAACACTTTTATTGCTTGAGTATACACCAGTCACTACAAATGGAAACATTCTTTATATTACACACTAAAATATTTAAACAGTTGTTATATTTATTGCAAAATCTGTCATTTTAGCGTATTTCAGTGTTCAAAAGCATTGAAATGCTCAAAAGGGAGATGGAAAATCCTGTACAATTCTTAGTTATGTTTCACTGAAGAATGGGTAGTCGTGTGTGAATATGTCTTTTTAACCCTTAGCAAGTCTAAGCAAAATAGCACATTTGCAAACACCTAATCAGCCTAAACAGTCATAAACAGGACAATATTGCTTTAGTGTTTTTGTCATACACGTGAACCACCCATTAAGATTTTTGTCATACAAAAGCTATATGCAAAGTTTTGGCCGAATCCTGTCTAGGCTTTTGCTTGATCTGCGTGCAGACAACACATTCATGAATGTTCGTTATTTATCACTATGAGTACGGGTAGTTCAGAATACTTACTGGATGGAAGGGAAGAGTTATATATTTGATCATTACAATCAGGCTCGAAGTGATTTGAAAGGAAAACAGTTTTTTCTCCCAAACTTCTGCTTCTATTAAATATGTTGTGAAGTTTTTAAAGTCTCAAGAATAAAAAATTATAAAAAATGGTCCAAAGAATGCACATACATAGAAAGTTGCGTGGAATTCAGTTTACCTGTCTAGAAATATCTAAAGGATGCTCCCACATGTCTGTTTTTAATTTTACTGAAACTGCTGAAGTGTCTGCAGTTTGTAATATTAAGTTTCTGTCACATTGATTCATAATGCTGTGTGTTGTGGGGGGAGGCTAACCCTGGTTTTTACCTCTGGATAGACATGTAAGCATCTTTTTTCATTGCTAAGCAACAACAGACGAAAAACACATACAACTGTAATTTGGCTACATATGCCTTTGATTTATCCTCCCTTAATTTTGGGAACCTAACTCAAGTGCCTGGATACAAGTCTGTTTTCCCCAAGCTCCTCCCAGCAGTGGAGACTGGTGCCTGCAGGAGAGCGTGCAAGCCACGCAGGATCTGTGCTGCCCTCTCCGTGGGCCATGGTACTTCAGTTAGAGGTGGGAAACTGGTCTGACAAAACAGCGAGTTTCATGAGTGGGTGGTGTTGGAGGGGAAAATTTGGATGGATGCCTCCAAGTACTTGCCAAGGTTGACAATGACCAGTATGTTTTATGATGTAAGCTTATAAAGTCATGAATAATACACATTAGGTGAAAAAAGCATGATAGCTCCTGTCTATTCCTGTGTGAGAACTGGAGGGCCTCAAATGAAAATGACAGGGAAGCAAATAAAACACAAGAAAGAAGATGTGTTTCTTTGTACAGCACGGTAAAACAGTGGCGCCTCCTGCCACGGGACGTTGAAGTTTGCCACAGTCCACAGAACAACTAGAAAAATCCTTTGGTGACTTAAACAGAACTTATCACTTGGATCTCCTCTCCTCCTCAGAAACATCTTGAGCCACAACTAGAAATCATGCTGCATTATTGCCCTCGTGCTGTATTTGTCCTTAGCATGTGTTGCTGGTCAGTGTCCCTTACAGTCAGACTGCTGCCTGACCTAACAAAACCTAAGAGAAAAGGGGCTAAATAAAAAGAAACTGGGAAGAAATTAAATTACTGTAGAGGACAGCTAATGAAAGAGGAGGGGGCTCCTGTCCACTATTAGAAACAAGCTACAAGGCAAGGTGGGCCTCGCATCTGGCCTGGTACAAACAGTTTAGTGTTCATGTGAGTGCCCAAATGTCAGAAGTTTCATGTAATTAAATTTTGTATAACTTTTAAGGTCTTGACAATTGTATGTATATGAATAGATATATCTGTATTTTTATGTGTGTGTGCGTGTGTATCTGTAGAGTAAATTTCCAATCATTAGTTGGATGAAATCTATGAAATATTCAGTTTCAATGCTTAAATCAGAAGTCTTCCATTAAAAGTCTTATTTGTTTCTTTATTACTGGGTATTATGGCAAATTTAGAAAATGAAACAGTTGGAGAGGTCTGCAAATGGTAATATGTATTCAAATATTGTTTTAGGCCAAAAAAAAAAATCTGTTCTAAGAAGTCGAATATCTTTGTTTTATAGGTCTCTGGCCATCTGAAGAAGTGCTGGCTTACTACTGCCTAAAGCACAATGAAATATTCAGGTACAGAGTTAAACATAAAAAGATATTTTCCAATCTGTTAGTTTTATTGTATCTGCATGGTAAAGATTGCTATGATTTAAGTCTTCAGATTAAATTTAAAATGTTCAAGGTGAAAGCATGTTGCTCTTAACAAAGAATTCTGAGCTGCCTTTGGGTACTAATATTGCACAGCAAGCTTTCTGCTATATGTCAAAGACTTTTGATTTCCACTCAAGGCGTTTTATTTCACTTTGATTTTTGGGAAACAAAAGTGAAGCACCAATCGATCAGTACTGATTGTGAAGGTCAGGAAAAATAAAAGACATTCTTTAAACTGACATCTGTTGCAAAAGCAAGCAAAATATTACCTGATAAAAATACATAATAATCACTGCATATAGCGATAGAGGAATTTGCACCTGTATTTAAGTGCTGTGGAACAATTTTGAGACATCCTGCACTGTTATTTGTTTTTGGTTTTTCACATTTTCTAAACTTGTAGAAGACAGTTATCAAAGCTCCAATTGGAACACCTAAAAATAAAAGCTATCCTGCATCCTCTGTCTTTCCCCTTGAGTATACAGAGCTTTGCACTTGGAAATCCTTGAAGTTTCATTGTCCAGAGGATGAATGGGGTGGAAGAAAAGCCATTATAACAATGCAATTGGAGGCATAAATTGAGTTCTGAGCGAGGGTGGAAGGCTAATACCAAGTAAACCAGCTAGAAGTATACAAAATCCCTCAGTCTGTGTACATATGGTGTTGGTAAAATAGGGAAGACCAAGTTGTAAGTCCCTGCCCCTTGTACCAAAGCTGGAAGCGTATCAGCTGTGAGCTGGTTCCTGCAGCTTGCTCGGCCTCCTATCTGAAATCAAAGACCTGGCACCAAAGCATGCCCTGGTTTGTAAAGCCTCATTTCCACTCTGTCTGCCACCTGAACGAGGCCCACCCCATTAGAGGAGGCAGCTAACCCACCTAATCTGGTAGCCACCGCTCCTTCCTCCGAGTTTAGCTGGACACTGCATTGTGTGACTTTTGCTGCTCTAGCAGTGTCCCTGTAGCACTTTGCTGTCCAGCCCCTTGCCGTGGCTCCAACACTCTGCATGTTCTCAGAGGCTCACTAAAAGGGTATTTTCCTAGTTTGGGTATGGAGACAGCGATCAGTCAGACCTCTGTGGAGAAAATGGCCAGTTTCACATCCTGATTTCTCAGGTTTATGCCCTCTCAACAGTACATTCAGAGTAGAGTTACTTATTTTAATTCTCATTGATAAATGTCACTAAGTATTTTTAAAATTTGCTAATAAGGGAACTTTGTGCTGAAATAAATTATGGTTATATGCATAAATATGTATATGCATGTATGTATATGCTCATTTATTATGTGCGTACAAATTTGGTTCAAAATGCATTAAAAACCCCACACTCGATACTTCCTGTGTTTATTTCAATAAGCATGACTCTTACAAAGGATTAAGTGCCTTGTAAATCTTATATATATAACCATACATGTATAATTTTAATATCTATGACATATATGATTTAGAAAAACAGAAACTCATGTTAGAAAAAAACTATAATCATTCTATTTAAACCACAAACTGAAAATTTCCCACGTCTGTTTTATATTCTCATTGAGTTTATGTACAGCTTGTTCTTCCAAACTATGTCCGTCTTTTGTCTCATTTCCATTAATTAGGACAACTAGACTTTTTCAAATAAAATTTGTGGAGTCTAAGAAAAATACAACTATCCCATCCAGACAGTGAGCATTAGTATACAGCCATACAGCCTAGTCTACTGGCCTCAGTGAACAAAATACCAGCATCTGTATACTGATACTGATACAGCATCCTAGATGCTCTTCCTAAATATCGGTGTGGAGTGAGTAAAGAGGTAATACTTTCACATAAAAATAGATTTTCAAATGTTGGTATTTTAGGGGTGAAGAAAAGGTGCACCAAAAAAAAAAAAAATCTGTTTAGCTGAAATTCCATTTTCTGTCTATCAAAAATGTCTCAATGGGAACGTTTCTGCTAGCTGTAACATTTGCTGCAGATTTAACTGTAAAGCAGCGTGTTCCTAAACTGAGTCTCTGCCTTGCCCTAGACGCCACTTCACGCAGTTTCGGCGCGGGGTCACCATCCCTCCCTCCTCCCCTCCTGGGGCAGGCCATGGCTCTGGAGGACATTCTTTATGGCTCCCCCTGCAAGCTCCCATCCGGCACGCTCTCTGCTCCAAATTATATTTCACATGCACGTCTTAATAACAGTGCAGTATGGTCTAAGTTAAAAGCAGCCTTTTAGACCATGTATTCAACCCTCTGCTCAGGCTCAGTTTAGGCTCTTGACACTAACTTCGTTTAGTTTTCTGTGGCTTAACTGTTTGCGGTTCCCATCGTTGTTCATAACAGCATTGTTTGTAGGTCACTTGCAGTTTTAAGTGCTAATTGAAGGATCGGATTTCTTCATGTGTAATTGTTTTGTGGTATATGGCTTGTTTTAAAACTTCTGTCTTTTTAATATAAAAAGGCTTTTAGACATAACTATATGGAGAGATATATAAATAATATTAATTTCCCCATTTACTTCTCTAACTGTTTTTGCAAGAATGAATGTGGATTAACATTGTTATCCTTTCCTAACAATTATCTTTCGCTACTCTAGCTAGTTTAGTTCTAAAAGACAGAGCCATTGACAAGGGAAAAAAGGGAACCTTCTCAGATTTTTCAGCTCAGCGGTGGTAATGTTGCACTGAACACTAATGAGGGAACCCCCACTGATTTGCCTGCTTTGTGACTTTTCTATTTCATAATTATTTTTAAAACGCAAAACGACATGAGGTAGCCTAGTCATGTCTCTACAACTTCCTGGTAGCTCAGTTCTTACTGCAGATGGCAATTTGTTCTTGTAACATATATGTCTCTCTGACCATTTTCATCTAATTTGTATGGGTTCTACCATTTCCTTTCTCTCTTTCAGGGACCTTGCTGTGTGTGAGCTAGGGGGTGGCATGACATGCTTGGCTGGGCTCATGGTAGGTCTTTTCTCAATTCCAATCCCATTCAGAGGAAGAAACAAAAGGAAAAATGTTCCAGTGCCTCCAACTGCTGGGTCAGAGAACTGTCAACAGCCTCAGCTGCGGTCAAGCTGCAGAGTCTTGAGAGACCTTCTAGATTGACTTGCTTTCGTATCATATTGATTTTATGGTTGCCTCGATGAGCAGAAACATTTTACCTCCGTGTAGTCAATATCTCTTGTTGTGACATTCCAGGCCACGTACGGTCTGTCTTTCATTGCCATAGCCGAAGCTTTTTTTTTTTTTTCAGATTATAGTCCCATTTGCTAAGATACAGGAATAGCCTGGCGAATCACAGTTGGAGCACCATGATATAGCTGCTAATGTTTTGCCTGCATTATTACACCAACAAACATGATCCAGAGCTCTCGGTAATTAGATTCTTTTGAATTAGATTGGCCATTCAGGAGAGTCGTTCACCATTCTCTGGGTTCTGAGTCATGTATTCAGGAGATATTATGTAGCAGTGCAGTGCATTAGACAAGTTTTTATGTCTCTACAAATAAAAGCATATTGTTACACTGATTGGCATTTGACAAACCTGTCGCTCTTATACAATGTGTCGAGGTTACAGCCCAATGTGCGAGCATGTCAAAGCTCACAAAAAAATTACCCTTACAAAGCCATCTGCCTGCAATGCAAAGTTATATGAAGGGCATCAGGCAGTCAGACAGAAGCAAGCTGAAAGGCAGAGTGACAGCCTTGTATGATGGCTCTACTAGATAAACAGAAGCCCGCAAATGAAAGCCTCTCAGAATACCATCATCCGCTGTCACAATGCAATTACGGAACAGAATGATAGCAAGATAGAGGCTCCCGCAAATGGAATGATAAAAGTATTGACTGATTTGATTGAATGATTAAAATAATGCAGACATAAAATGAAAAAAGATTGAAGATTGTTACAGAGAAATAGGTGAGGAAGCATGATACTGAAGGCTTGTCACTCCTGTCTTCACTTCCACACAGACAAGCATATTTGCTCATTGTTTGCTGTGCTCTTTTTTTCAGGTTGCTATTTCTGCAGATGTCAAAGAAGTTCTGTTAACTGATGGAAATGAAAAGGCCATCAAAAGTATCCTTATTCAGATAGAAAACCGGTTTGTTGTGCTCATTCCTTTTTACTGGCTGAGTAACAATCGATATAAAGACAGACAGCATGGGGTATATTAAGAAAAAGTCCCCACATAAGTAATTAAAAAATAGATGTAGAATATCCTGAACAGAGCTACAGCTTCCCTCACAATAAATGCCACCTTTTCTTCTTTAATTAAAAATGCTCGTGTTGGTATAGAGCAAGTACAGTAGTAAATATTTGTCTTATGGTTGAGTTCTGAAAGATTCCTGTGTGTATGCTGCATGCTACAGGAGGTGTAGCAGTGAATCAAATCATTAGCTCCCCATCACATATTCGTTTTGCAGAAGAACTAGGTTGTTGGGTTTTTTACTAGCCTCTTAAAACATACCCGGTATTTGTATATTATCATAGCTTTTCCAGTGTATATTGAAATGCATGGTTTCTTATGCATTGTTTGCTGCTAAGTTATAACTGCCTACAAATTACCCATTTAGTGTGCTTAATCAATTATCAATTTATCATTATTTCTCTTGATGTAAGATTGCAAAACTCCTCTGTCCCTTGTAGAAAGTATTTTATTACATTTCTTATATTACAATAAATTGCTATTATGCTCTTCTAATATGAACACATAGTTCAGAAAATTGAACTGGACTTTGGCTAAGCGAGAGAATGAGCGAGCATAATTTGTGGCCACATTAAATATCAGCACAGAAGAAGAACAGATATATACAGTGAATACTAATAGCCCTTAGAAATTGAGAGGGAAAAAAGGATGATATCTATTTGCTTTTGTTCCTTGGTAGTCTTTCTATTTGCATTTTAAGGCAGACTAGTTTTTCAGGTTTTGGCCACTGCATCGTCAGAATTACTGAGATTTGAGCTTTGTATGTATTTGAGAGCTAACATAATAAGTACCTAGTGAAGAAGAAAAAGTTAAACCAATTTGTGGTTTAAAAAAAATTGCAGTTGCTGATGACTGTTAAAACAGGAGACATTGCAGTGCGATAGTATTAGCTACTACCTTTAAAAAGACTTTCTCAGAGGTAACTGAGGAAATTATAATTGCTTACAACAATTTCATGAAAAAAAACAGCCAATCCTAGATCATATCTTTTAAAACTTGAATGAAGCCTTATAAAAGTCTCCTTTTTCTTGAAAATGCAAGTTCACAGTTGTGTTCCAGGGATTCTTGTTTGTTAAATTCTAGTTTATTATACTCATGTCTTGTAGAGGAAGTACTCGTTATTCCGTGTATTTTAATCAGCATCACCCCTTCCGATCTTTCTTTTATGTCATTATGAAGATAAAAAATGTGGGAGAAAAAAAATATGTTTCAAAACTAGCCTAACAAAACAAACATCTGTTTTATAGAAGCATAGGTATTTAACCAGAGGTCATTTTACCTACAGAAAGCTTCAGGTGATCTCAGTAATCATCAGGTCAGCAAATATCTTGCATAGCAGATACCATAAACATACCTGAACTTTTTTGAGATTTAGAAGTCTTCTGTAACAAGGAAAATTGGGGAGTGCTAAAAGTATTCACTCAGTCTTTAGAATTAAACAAATCAAAGTGGTTTTATTCCTGATTAAAGATACTGTTAATATCATCTAATTAGCACACCTTAGTTTTTCCCAATATGTTTTAGAAATATGTTTTATTCCCAAAAGTCTTATGAGAAGTCTTCATCTGTATTCACTCAGTGAATACCTCTCAGGGAAGCGATTGGTGGAAGGCTCTAACAGGAATTTATTTTTCTTTTTTAACATTTAGTGCTCTGAAGGCTCAGCATTCAAAGTGCTTTTATTGTGTTGGATTTTACAATGGGCTTAATATTAGCAGGGTGCCAAAGTGCAGCAGACTAAGAACTTTACAGTGTAGGTGGAATGTATTCTTAAAAGTGCACATAATAAAATTTATGTTGCATTTTATGTGTTTTATGGACTTCGGTAGTAATTTTATGATCTGTCTTATGGTAATTTTCTTTTGCATTCTTTCCTATAGTGACTAGCTCTAACAGAAGTTTAGGCTAAATTTAAGTCTGTTTCAGCCACACCAGACTCACTGAAATCAATCAGTATTTTTAGTGTACTTGGAAATAGTGTTTGGCCCCAATTGCCACAGACTGCAAATGATGTATATCTACTAATTTTTATTATTGCTGATGGTATTTTTTAATTGTTTACCATACCAAATTATATTAATGTGATATAAAATACTGTTTTCTGTTCTAGACTCTGCTCTTCAGGAATAGTTAATGCCTAGTATTATGTTTTTATGTAGGTATTATAGATTAAAATAATCTTGTTTAAAAATTACTGTTTACATCTTCCCTTTAAATTTCTTACGAAGCTTAAATTACATGCCAGTCATACTATAATATCCAAAAATTACTTTCCAAAAAGTAAAAGTGGTTGTCAACAAAAAAGAAAAAAAATCACTGTCAGAAGCCAGGAAATCACCAAGCAAGCCTGCTAATTATTCTTAATGGGCAAGATGAGCACATTAAGAAACAAATGAATACATCAGTGAAATGTAATTGAAAATCGACCTGGCAATAGTGCATTGCATCTGAGAATCTGCCTTTGTATTATCATCATCATCATAATTATTGTTGTTTTTGTTGTTGTTATCGCTATTCAGTGAGCGTAACTAACAGCTTTGCTTTGTGAACTCTCAAGCTTTTGAGGATTTGATTTTTCTTTTAATTTTTGACATTATTCTCCATTTCGTACTTCCACATGAAATATTCACTATGTATGTTTCCAATATCTATATTAGGATATCTTGTTGAAATGTTACAAGTTAAAGTCATTTATGAATATGTTCGTTTCAAATCATTGTTGTCATTTTAATCATTTCGTTGTGAAATATGTAGCTATACTTTATATTAAGCAGTGGTTTTATGCATGAGGTTTATGAAGGTTTTTAAAAGGATATTATGATTTGAGTTACTTGTCCATTTAAAAGACTTCACTCTAGCTCACTCCTTTTTGCTTATCTTGGGGCAGATTTTAATTGATTAACAGATCATTTATATTGCAAAATCAATAAAATAAAGACAGATGTTATTGCTTTTGCAGCTTCATTCAAAACGTCATTGTTGGTTTATTGTGTTTTGGGATCATTTCAAATAAAGTATTAAAAAGAAAAAATATAGATATTTCAAGTGAATAATAAAGATATATATAGGCAGAGTTATCAGATTCATCCTCCTTTGTGATTTTGGGTGATATGCACTCAGATACAAATTTTCCAACTTAGGTAATATCTATGACATCGTCAGTCACAAACATCAAATTGTATTTCCCTAGAACACTGGAAGCATCTATACCTGGTTCGACATGTCCAAATCCAAGGATGAGGTTCATTTTTAGGAAAAATTGCCTCCTGTTTCAGAAGGGCTGTGTGCCTTCTGCCTTAGCTCTGTTTCACACCGTGCACTAGTGACTTAAACCACTGTCTGAAAGCATCAATAATACAAAACATTGCTGCAGTGCACTATAATGGCCATTAAAATATAGCGTATGGATCTTTCAACAGTCCTGGGAAATTTAGGTTAGAAAGGTCATGTTCAGCCTGAATGCCTGAAGACATGGGCTCATAAATTATTTAAAAAAAAGCTACTGTTAACACGTTTACAACAATTATTAATAGTTTTGCTAAGTTATATAATTTAAGTGCAGTGTAGCTAATTTATCAGCAATGTTACTTCTGCCTCTAGTTAAAAATAACACGCTTTGCTCATGGAGTTATTTATGCCTTCCTTTTGCTTCGCAGGTATAGACCATTCGTTACTACTTATCATTGCATGTTGTGGAAAAGATCTAAAAGGCACTTCCAAACTACAGAGATTTGTTTAAACCCGTTTTCTGTCATTCTGTTTCTAGTTTTTGCCTTCACGAAATATCAGTTGTCTTTTCTTTTACATTGTTTGGATGTAGAGGCTTTCCCAAAATAACTCTTCTTAAATAGTCAACTGTGTTAGGAAGGCCAATTATGTGATTTCAGCAAAGCAAATGAAAAGATACATCAGTGATACTTTAAATTAGCCTGACGCTAATGTTCAATTTTCTTATAAGAGCACTTGGAAAGAATTTGACTTATTTTTTGCACCTAGAAACATCCTCCTAATTAGCATCAGATTTCCTGTACTTTAAATAAGAAAGAGGGATCGTTGGCATCTTTACCAAAAATGTCTATTTAAGATGATCTTTTTATATTTGAGAGTGAATCATTCAAAATACATATGAGTTTACTCTGGGTGACACCTAGTATTGTCACAGTTTTCAGTTACTTGCTGCACCTCTTCCTTCCAATGGCTTCTCACTAACCACGACGACTGACTGTGAAGTTTATCTTTCTAGGCATAGATGACAGGACACAGTTTCCCTTGAAACTGTTCATTGACAGCCCTTGCTTTGGCCTGCCTGAATGCTACCCAAATTTGTGACCTGATCTTCCAAACTGAAAGAAGCTGAGACAGGAGGCTGAGGCATTGGGACATGAGGCTTAGTCACTGTTGTGGTGCCTATGGGGAAGAAAAGGCATTTATTGCTTTGTACTATCTTTTATGGTGGTTCCAAACCATTCTCAAGAAAGCAAATGAACTAGAAATTCCCTCACCTATAGGTTAAGGTGCTCCCGTTGTGTGTTGGATTTCACCCAGACAGAGCCAGGAACAAAGGTATGCGTCTTGTGGCAGGGCAGGTACTCAAAACCCCTAAGCCTCCAAAATCTCAGCACTGTGATCTAGTGATACAGTTGAAAGCAGCACAAACTCAACTGGACATCAAGTGACCGTGGTAAAAAATTTCTGTTCACCAGGTTTGTGATTCTTATATTTGTAAACACTACTGTTTGTTGCCTTTAAATGTATATAAAGCATGGGAAGTACTTTTCAGTTCCTTCTATGGCTACAGGGCTAGCAATTCCTTAAATGAAACAGTAAGTAGAGGGGGACAACCAGTTGCTGCATAGATACATGTCTGATGTGCTGGAGTAGCAAAGTAAAATTTATGCTTCTGAAAAAAAGACTGACTCTTAGCACAGGTTAAAGAAGACCCAACAGGTAAAAGACATTATGAAGTCATTAATAATGGAAAAAAATATTTTTCTTATTATTTTTATTACTGCTCTAGTTCTGTAGATAATTCTTAACGAATACGGCACAGATGTAAGTGAGATCATCACAAGAAACCAAAATGCAGGAGTATTCAAGGCTCAGAAAGTGTCAAGCTGGTAAGATTCTGCTAAACTCTTTTACTGATTCTTGCATGTAGTTGTGTAGTTAATGTGAAATATATTAAAGTGTGAAAGTGTGACTTATATTACTGGCGCTGACACAGATGTATATACAAGTAGGTATGTGATGCAAGACAGAAATTTGGAAGTATTAAAAAAGTTAATTGCTTTTTAACATAGCAAATACAGTATGATTAATCTTGGTGACATAACCTCTCTTTTTATTTTTTTTGACATACAGTGTCTCTTCAAGCTGTGGTTTAGTGCATGCTTGAAATTTGGCTGCTTCAGAGTCATCTTTACCCATTGTACTGAATATGAGGCTTGAAACAAATGTACCTAAATCACTGACAGGTTTCATTTTAAATAGCTCTGAGAATTCAGGGTGGCAACGAATCCCATTTGCCCCTGAGGCAGATGTTGTTGGAGCATCCATGGGAAGTTTTTTGGTCATCCTGTCTGGCAATCAGTATTGTGTTGTCATTGCAAGGACAGATGAGGAGTATGGGAGCCAGGCACAGCATGCTCGGGCCCTTCTCTCATTGACTGTGTCCTAAGGTGCAGGGCGAACCTGGCATTTTTCTCTGTAGTGCACCAACTTTTGTCTCTTAAATCAGCCCCGAAGGCATGCTCTGGAGGGTGAGTGTTGTAGAGGTTCAGAGAATTTGGTTGCAGATGATGTCCTGGCTCACCCTGTAATAGGTGGTGCCACTGAGGCTGGCTGTTTAACTATCTATTTCATTGAAGTGTCTCCAGGTACAGTAGGGGCTGGAAGCAGCTGAAAAATTGAAGTGTGTTCATCTCTTGTAGTATTTTAAAAGTAAATTGTAAAGTATTTCATATTTGTGGTATAGGGTTAAGAATTAGAATGTGCTTAGGATGGCTACCTAAGAGCAAATAATGCACTCTTATTTGTGTGTCTAAATCTTCTTTTTTTTTGATGATTCTTGTTCCAGAAGGGCTCTCAGTCCTCCTCAAAGTGACAAAAGTAAAGCTGAAAAAGGGCTGAGAAAGGCAAGCTGTTAGAGCAGAATAAGCTTATTAACATAGAGGGTTAAACCCATACAATTTTAATGGCTATCATTCACATCATTTATCCCTATGCTTATGTAGCCATTCTCTGTAGAGAAGTTCTTTTAAGTGAGCACTTAGGGTTAGAAAAATTCTGCCTTCATTAGGGTGTACGTGCATATAACTTAGAGATATATCTCTGCATCCTAATAAGTGCCTGCCAAGTAGACAAAGGCCACGCGGGCCCCAGGAATGGTCTTTCAGGTTCCATGTGCTGAACGCTTCTTGTGAGCAGCGTCAGACACTCATCCCTGCCGAGGAGAGGCTGCGTGGTACGTCCATCCAGAAGCTTAGATTTTTTAGATTTCCAATTGCCGTCTACTTTGTATGAGATTTCAGATTTCATCCCTTGTCAAGACTTCAAACCTGGTCTTTTAGATATCAATCAAAAGCACATTTTCTACCCTGTCCTCATTTACATTTATCTAATGCTTAAGGTCATTTGTGATCATTTGAGTGTATTTCAGCATATGGAATCAGTGAATAATAGATTTCAGCTTCACGCTGTGAAGAAAGATTGTGTTTTTACAAGACACGATGTTGTTTACTGGGTGTTAATAATCACTAATTAATAAACATACCTAGACGTCATAAAATGTTGCATTTTAAGGAGTAAAAATGTCAAGTGTTTAACTTTTTGAGTGCAATAGCATTTGGGGCCTTATTTGCATAAAGAAAATAATTAAATTACAAAATGAAGTACTATATGAAAACATAAAGTTCATTGTAATAAACACATAATTTGATTTTTAGTGCCCCATTCTTAAGGCTTTTGCAGATTTGTTGTAACACTGTAAAGTTTTACAAAATAAGTATTCAAATGACTCTCTAATCCCCAAAATAATTATCATCTTGCTCATCTCTGTCTTATACGTGGTAATAGTTGATTTCTGCTGTCAAAATTAAGGTGATGCTTTGGTTAGTTGTTTGAGAAGCACTGATGGAAGGTTCAGTCCTTCAGATTCAGTAATGGCATGTGATGAAGGCAGGAACAAAGTTATTTGATCACTTCTCAAGGCGTTGAAGAAACGAAAAGGCTGATGTAAAATCTGAAATATTGCCGTAACCATGATTCACTTTTCCTACAACCAAAAATCTTTGTTATATAATGGTAATGGGAGGCAGGGGGAAACCACAAGAAAATGTAGTGTTTTGTAGGGAAGAATGCAACACTGTCATGCAAAGTGACATTAGGTGACTTCTTTTACATTGATCAGAGCTTGTAGGCAAATGAACATAGTGATGTATTTAAGTGACTTACTGCAACATTAATTTAATCTGGATAAGGCATTTTCCTCACTCTAACCTGTCATCTAAACAGTGTCCAGTCTTGCAACTTTGCAGTGTCCAGTGCAAAGTTACAAGATTTTTTCCATGTTAAAGATAATTCAGAATAGACCCTTCTTACTGCACCTTCATCTCACATTGGGATCTTGTACTCTTTTCCTTGCACATGGAGCAGAAATTACCAGTATGAGAGTCACTTTGTGACTGTTCCAGACATTTAAGTCTAGACTTGGAAAATATGCCAAAACATGTATGGCGCAAAAAGGAACAATCCAGTATCAGCCAAGAGAAGTTAGATTAGGACAATCTGCCATACATTTATTTATTTAGATTTATACAAAGAGCAGTAAATGAGCATTTATCTAGCTTTCTGCCAACTCTTGATTATTGTTTAAAAGTACAGTAACCTAAGCCAAACTGGCAGTTTGTCATATTATGTGTTATAATGTAATAATAGATATTTAGTAAACAGTTTACTTCAGCAGTGGATATACAGTTCTATTTTATTTTTAGCTTCCATGAGTATGTTCAAAATTTCCTACTCACGCTTACTGGACATAGGTATAGAAATGCCACCAAGTTACTAACAATGACTTGCCATTAAGGTGAATTATTAATATCGTATATGAGTGTGACAATTTTATTTTTTCCACAGTTCAAAAATTATCCATGAATCATGTTGTTTACCCCATAACTTAGCATATGAGTTATCATGATAGCAGTCTTCATGGTACCAACAACTGTTATTTGTATGACATGCATTATATCATTGTTTTCAACATGTCCACCAATGATTAAATTAGTGGTAACAAAGTCAAAGAATCTCTGCTCTTTTTCTTCCCTTTATGTTAATGTAGAAGCCTTCCTGAAGGAGAGATTTGGGTAGTAGAATTTTGAAAACTTGTTATTACAAATGTCATGATGGAAAAGCTTCAGCAAAGAAGAAGGCTTGCAGTATATTCTAAAGGTTAACAGACTCTGTCTGTTTTACCTACCAGGGAATTTGTTCCTACCTCAGATTCTCTTGTCTTGAGAAGACCAAATCTGTTAAGAACAAAATTTGTATATATTTTTTGTATACTTATTGCTGATAAGGGACCTGTGCGTTTTAGCTGTGGACAAGCCTATTGTTTTGCTAACAGTTTCCTCAGAGAGATTACATTCCACATCAAGAGTGTAAACAAGCACACAATAACATCAAGTCAGTGAGAGAAATGCTTGTGGTGTCATGAATCCTTTGATTTGATTAGTGATAGTGTGTTGCATACTCTTTGTTCACTCTGTAGTCAACATTAGAACCCACATCAAGAATGTATGACCACGTGACCAAAAGTGACAATTCCTTCTCCTTAAACGTTAACAGATGAGTTGTAATCGTGTCTGAGATTTTAGTGTTCCTCACAAATGTTATGAATTTACAAGCTTCCAGAATTAAACCTAAAAAGAAAAAAAGCCTTTCTAAAGACTAAATGGCATCCGTTATAATAGTGGATGAGGTCTCTGACCAGAGCACTGAACTATATTGTCCTGATTCCATTCTCATATTAATTACCTCTTTCGCTGTAACTGCCAATATGTGAATTTTACCTTACTGCAACATTCTTCAAATACGCCAGCTTTCTAACCTTTCTGCTTTCAACTGGTCGTGTACCAGGTTCCATCAGCCTTAATAAAGACTCTCTCTCTGTCTTCATTCATCAGAATGACCTGAGTGTTGCTAAACTCAAAATTTTTGAAAACATGTTTATCGAACTTGTTGTGTTTGTCAGCTTAGCAACCCTAAAGGAGTCCCTTTGTTCCAACTACTTTTCCAGTCTCCTCAGCTAACTCTCTTTCATGGCAACATCTGTTGGCAAGGAGGAAGCTGCCAAAAGGAGCATTTCCTGCACTTTCGTTAGAAATAAAAGGCTCTTGGTTCCTGCTCTCTTAATTTGATGAATTTATGTATGTGTGGGAAGAAACAATCAACAGTCTATTCACAGCCATTGTGAATTTGTAGCTCTCTATCACCGAAAACTCAACTCAGGTGGAAACTGTTCCATACCTCTGATGACACTTGCCCTCTCTGTATCTTTTCCAGTTTCGCTCTACTCATTTTCAGATACACTTGCCCTCTCTGTATCTTTTCCAGTTTCACTCTACTCATTTTCAGATGAGGGTGGTCAGTACTGCATTCAGAGTGTGCACCCTCAGCAAGTTTCCAGATGACACCAAACTGTGTGGTACAGTCAAGGCACTGGAGGGAAGGGATACCATCCAGAGGGCCTTGATAGGCTCAAGAGGTCGGTCTGTGCAAACCTCATGAAGTTTAACAAGGCCAAGTGCAAGGTCCTGCACACAGGTCAGGGCAATCCCAAGCACAAATATAGGCTGAGGGATGAGTGGATTGAGAGCAGCCCTGCAGAAAAGGACTTGAGGGTGCTGGTTGACAAGAAGCTTAACATGTCCCAGCAAGCTGTGCTTGCAGCCCAGAAAACAAATCGCATCCTGGGCTGCATCAAGAGAAGCGTGACCAGCAGGTTGAGGGAGGTGATTCTCCCACTTTGCTCTCATGAGACCCCACCTGCAGTGCTGCGTCCAGCTCTGGGGCCCTCAGCATAAGAAAGGCATGGACCTGCTCAAGCCAGTCCAGAGGAGGG